AGTTTGAGTTTTAACTTCCATGGAAACACAAATAACAGTGCCAGGACTCTGCACTCAGTGAGAAAACACAAGCCTGTGTGCTAAGATGTAAGAAGTACATGGAATGTATATTTCAGACAGCTTCATATCAAAAATGCAGAAAACCATACCAATGAAAAAACTGTATCGGGCCGGCCCGGTGGCGCACTGCTACAGTGCGCCGCTTGGGAGTGCGGTGGCGCTCCCGCCGAGGGCTCGGATCCCACATACAGACCGGCCGCTCACTGGCTGAGCAAGGTGCGGGAGCAACACCGAGGGTTGCGATCCCGTTGCCGGTCCCGGTCCAGTACGGGCACAACACTGAGGGTTGTGATCCGTTGCCGGTCACGAAAAAAGACAAAAAAAACAAAAAAAACAAAAAAACTGTATCAAACATGTTTCTATAGCTGAAAACAAATTTAATCAAAGTTTTAACAAAAACAAATCCAAAACTTCATTATAATTACTGTAAATTTTCAAAGTGGTATATTAATTTTTCTTTGCTTCATAGATAAACAGAAAGGTTAAAAATTAACAAATGTAGGTCGATTCAAATAATGTATCTGACTAACAATAAAAGCAATTTGAGTCATTTTCTAAAAAAATTATGGTAGAATACACATAAAATTCAGCATTTTAACTATCTTAAAGTATACAACCCAGTGACATTTAGTACATTCACAATGTTGTGCAACCATCACCACTATCTAGTTCCAGAACATTTTCATCAACCCAAAAGAAAACCCCATAGCCATTAAGCAGTCACTTCCCATTCTGATGGCAGCCATTAATCTGCCTTTCTGTTACTGTATATTGCCTATTCTAGATACTTCATATAAACAGAATCATACAACATGTAGCTTTTTGAGACTGACTGGCTTCTTTCACTCAGCATAATACTTTCAAGGTTCACCCATGTCTGAATACTTCATTCCTTTTTATGGCTGAATAATATTTTATTGTATGGCTATACCACATTTTGTTTATCCATTAGGCTCATTTGGGTTGTTTCAATCATTTGGTTGTGGTCAATATGCTGCTATAAATATTTGTATAGGGCCGACCCTGTGGCGCACTCGGGAGAGTGCGGCGCTGGGAGCGCAGTGGTGCTCCCACCGCGGGTTCGGATCCTGTATAGGGATGGCTGGTGCGCTCACTGGCTGAGCGCGGTGCAGATGACAGCAAGCCAAGGGTTGCGATCCCCTTACCGGTCACAAAAAAGACAAAAAAAAAAAAAAAAAAAAATTTGTATGAGAGTTTTTATTGTTTTCTGTTTTTGGGGTATATACCTAGGAGTAGAATTGCTGGGTTATATGAGTATGGTGACTCTACATTTATCTTTGTGAAGAACTGATGAACTGTTTTCCACAGAAGCTACATTATTTCACATTCCCGTCATCAATTTGGGGTTGGGGGAGAGGGTGTCCAATTTTTCCACATCCTTGGAAATATCTGTTATTTTCTTTTTCTTTCTTTTTCTAAAGCCATCCTAGTGGGTGTGAAGTGGTACCTCATTGTAGTTTTGATTTGCATTTCCCTATGACTAATGATGTTGAACATCTCTTTCACGTGCTTCTTAGCCATTTATCTAACTTCTTTGGAGAAATGTCTATCCACGTCCTTTGTCTATTTTTACATTGTGTTGTCTTTTTGTTGTTGAGTTGTAAGAGTTCTTTAACATATTCTGGAGACTAGACTCCTATCAGATATGTGATTTGTATATTCTCTATTCTGTGCGTTGTCTTGTCTTTCTTGATAGTGTCCTTTGATGTAGAAAAGGTTTTAATTTTGATAAAATCCAATTTATCCTTTTTTCCTTTCCTGCTATTGCTTTGGGGTCATATTTGAGAAACCACTGCCAAATACAAGGTCATGATGATTTACCCTTATCTTTTCTTTGAAGATTGTTTTAGTTTTAGCTCTTCTATTTAGGTCTCTAATCCATTTTCAGTAAATTTTTGAATATGGTGTTAGGAAAGGGTCCAATTTCATCCTTCTGTATGTGGATATCTAGTTATTCCCAAATCATATATATAGTTTTTTTTCTTTCTTTTTTTTTTTTTATTAGATGACCGGTAAGGGGATTTTAACCCTTGGCTTGGTGTTGTCAGCACCACACTCTCCCAAGTGAGCTAACCGGCCATCCCTATATAGGGGGCCTTCGTGGCCTTCGTGTTATCAGCACCACACTCTCC